CTGCACCCAGAGGTGCTGTGCTGCCCTGCTCCATGGCAGAGCATGCTCCCTGCACCCAGAGGTGCTGTGCTGCCCTGCTCCATGGCAGAACATGCTCCCTGCACCCAGAGGTGCTGTGCTGCCCTGCTCCATGGCAGAACATGCTCCCTGCACCCAGAGGTGCTGTGCTGCCCTGCTCCATGGCAGAACATGCTCCCTGCACCCAGAGGTGCTGTGCTGCCCTGCTCCATGGCAGAGCATGCTCCCTGCACCCAGAGGTGCTGTGCTGCCCTGCTCCATGGCAGAGCATGCTCCCTGCATCCAGAGGTGCTGCTCAGCCCTGCTCCATGGCAGAACATGCTCCCTGCACCCAGAGGTGCTGCTCAGCCCTGCTCCATGGCAGAGCATGCTCCCTGCACCCAGAGGTGCTGTGCTGCCCTGCTCCATGGCAGAGCATGCTCCCTGCACCCAGAGGTGCTGTGCTGCCCTGCTCCATGGCACAGCATGCTCCCTGCACCCAGAGGTGCTGCTCAGCCCTGCTCCATGGCAGAGCATGCTCCCTGCACCCAGAGGTGCTGCTCAGCCCTGCTCCATGGCAGAGCATGCTCCCTGCACCCAGAGGTGCTGTGCTGCCCTGCTCCATGGCAGAGCATGCTCCCTGCACCCAGAGGTGCTGTGCTGCCCTGCTCCATGGCAGAGCATGCTCCCTGCACCCAGAACATGTTCCTTGCCCTGCTGGGGACAGCCCCTCACCTGTCCCAGCTGAGGCAGCACTGAACTGCCACTGCAGAACCTGCAGTTAACCACCCAGGGCTCTTTCAGGCTGTGGTTACAGGGAAGGCCCACGAGATGTCAGCAGCCCTCCAGGTCCGGTCCTGGCAGGAACTGTCAGGGAGAAATAAAAATGTGGGAGGCTGAGAAGAGAGGTCAGGACAACGCTGCTTTGCCCACCTGCTGCCATGCCTCTGTACAGCTCTGTATTTCTAAATCCTCCTTCTCCTGCTCAGGCATTTCCCCTGTGCAGTTCCACATGGGGGTTTCTGATGAAATCTGGATGTTTCTGACTGCTCAAGGGCACACAAGGACCCTCACTCATCTCCTCTCTGAGGTCCTTGACCACTCAGCACCACTGTGCACAGCATCCTCCATCTAAGCAAGGACATGTAAATGTAGGATAAAAATGTCACCTTAAACGAGGCTTGAATGTCAGTGTTGGGAAAATCTGAGAGGCCAAACAGGATGGGGAAGAGAAGTACTTGCCTTTTTTCCTTCTGTCTTCATGCAGAGCAAACAAAAGCTTTGATTTTCATGTCAGAGCTATTGAAAGGGCCACAACCAATTACTCTTTTCTGGCTTTTTTTTTTCTCTTTGTAGGAGAGAGGCTGAAATGCACCAGTAGAAACTTTGAAAAGTTTTAAAAATTAAAGCTGACTCACCAGGATTGGGGTCAAGGATTGAGGCAAAAGTGAGAAAAGCTAAAGTTTTAAGACAAACCCTATAGACCAGACGTGTGAGATATGAGGATGGAAGGCTGGGAGAGAAGCTGGCAGCCCTGTGGTCAGTCCCCCACTGCAGATTTACTGCAGAGGAAGGGAGAAGCTCATGAGGAGATCCCAGCAGGTAAAATTCAGTTTTCTTGAAGTCCCTGCATATTCAGCCACCCAAACACTGACAGCTGCCTCCCTCCTTTCTCAAGGACAAACTCAGCACTGTCACTCTCAAGGTGGGAGCCCTGATCTTGCTGAAGGACTGGCTGGATGAAACTACCCAAGGCACCAACAGAAACAGCAATGGAGGCTCGACACATGAAGCAGCACAGAGAACTAAAGGATTGCCCTAGTATGGTATTTCTTCAGGAACAAATGGCATTTTTCCCTGCAGTAACTTGACACAAGTGAGGATGCTCAGCTGTTCCCTGCACCAGGAAACATGGGAAGGGATTTTAACAAGTCTTCAGTGCCTCCCTGCTCCCACTGACAGCAGCAGGCATTGAAGAATGTTAATGGAGCATCTTTACACAGCCAATGATGAGCTCTCTTGGCAAAAATCCCCAGAATAAAGGTTCTGATGTCTGTTTTCCTGCTATTTTGAATGGAGTGGAGATGCATTTGCTTAGTTATTGATTCTGAAGTTTCCAAAAATCAAAGGGTGGTACCAGACTGGAGCTTCTGTGTAGCACAAAGGCAAAGATAAGGCAAGCATATTGTGTGCTGAGAACAAACAGCAGAGCAGGAGCTCCAGTGCACATGGAATAACTGCAGAGCACTGAAGCAAGAGGACCAAGAGGCCTGGCAACAGGATGTCAGCCTTTGTGAAGCCTGTTTGAAGTACAGGCAGACACAGACTGTTCACATTTTTCATGCAGGGATGTTTTCAGTGGAAAATCAGCCTTTTTTCACCCCCTCCTTGTCTCTACCCCTCAAACCTATCAAGATCACTGCTGTTCTATTTTTCATGAAGTTCTCTGCTGTGCTATACTCGTGCTTGCACCTGAAATACACAATCCTCTGCTGGGATCTGGGTCAGCCTCACTGAGAAGGGGAATCCCATTATTGTCTCTGGTTGTTTTTGAAATGAATGACTCTGTCCAGTCAGCTCAGGCTGGCATTCAAAGGCTGCCACACGTGTGCCAAAGCTCCAGGAGCCTTTCAGCACAGAGCCAGGGCTGACATCCCCCAGGGTATCTGGGAGCACAGGGACAGGGCTGACATCCCCCAGGATGTCTGGCAGAGGTGCAGCAGGGGCAGTATTTATCATGCACTGGTTTTCCCCAAAGGGAGACACTGTGCACCCACAGATCTGCTCTGCAGGCTGGGAGACAAGCAAACAGCCTAACTGAGAAGGCTGCAGGAAAAGCCTTTCCCTTGCTGTGCCTCAGCTCTGGGTGAAGCCCAGAGGAAGCCAACACCAGTTCTGTCTCAGAACCAGGAATGGGCTGTCCAAGTCTGGCTCTGATCTGTGCCCCTCCTCAGCCACCAAGGAGCACCCCTGGGAGGAACACTCCTGCCTCACACCACACAGACTGTCAGTATGAAGGAATGACATGGCACAGGAATTCAGGAGCACATGGGAGCAGAGCTCCAGAGCTGCTGGAGGACCTGAAGCCACAGCATGAGCTAACTGTGGCCAAATGCCTCAGCCTGACTCAACTCTGTGGCGCAGGGCACAGCTGTGCATCTTCCTCTGCCTCACATCATTGCACTAACTGAACTGTCAGCTGCTGTGTGGAACAGAGGAGAGGTCTAAACAGTACTGAGATCTCAGAACCTTTGGTTCCTATCTCCATGAACTGCAAGTGCATTTTAAATCTACAGTTCTCAGTGAAGTTAGGAGTGCCAAATACCCTTTAAAACACTAAATGTATTGGTGCAAGTGCAACATTAAAAATTTCTCTAAATTAAATGTTTATGCTGAACTAGTTTAGCGACATTAAACATTCTCAATTTTAAAGTGACTGCAACTCAGCTTCTCTCTGTAAGTTAAGCTGTATCAAAACAAAGCATGCTAATTCTTAACAAATATACATTAAGCTGGTATCTTGCAATAGAGTTAAAAGCCAATTCTCAGGTGATATTCAATGCCTCTCAGCTGCTATTAAAACTTTCTAGCAGTGTTATGGAGGCCCATTTCAATCAGTCATATGTAGAGCCCTGACACACAGGCAGAAAAGCAAGAATTTACAGTTTCTTGCAAAGAACCAACAGTGATTTTCTCTACTTCAGAACATGGCAGTTTCCCATCTGGGGCTTGGTCCCTCACTGTGTGTTATTTCAGTGGACATGAACCCAGCTCTGCACACACCCATTTGCAGGCCAAGGCCCAGAGTCATATGATCTTTATAATGCATGAGAAAAGTAATGCAATTTTATACTTTTTAAGCTTAGGGATTTATAGCTCCAGAACTGTAGGAAAGAGAGGATATTTTTGCAAGATAATAAACTCCTTTTTTCTCCCCCCATTTTAAAACATCTTCATGTATTCATGTCAAAACATCCAGAGATATTTCTGGTGTTAAGAAGGGCTGTGGAACAAAGTTGCTCTCCTCCAGCGGCAGGAAGAAGATTACCTACCTTTTTCCTCATTATTCTGGGCCACTATTATCAGCAAGATATTTTATTACAGCAAAGAAAAAGAGAGAAGAGCTTGATTTTATCCCCATTGTCCTGCAGCAGCAGCCAGCAGCCCTGATCAGCAGGTGATGAGTGCCCTTCCTGAGCAGGCAGTAAATGTAAATTTAGCAAAGAGCACTTAGCAAATGTAACTACAGGGTCCATGCTCTCAGGATTATCTGATTTTCCCTTGCTGCAGGAAAATCCACATGAAAATGAAATCCTAAATTGATTCTGCAGCTGCATGGCAGGGAAAGGTGCATGGCTGGCAGGCTCTGGGATCACCATCACACAGGTGTGATTCACCTGCACGCCAGGATGTGCAGTGCCAGAGAAACTGCACTATCAGGGCCAGTTAATCAGAATCCTGAGCCTGGAATCCTGATGGCTCCCTGCCCGATGCTGCTCTACCCTCTAAGCCAAGTGTTCCCCCCAGGCCATGACCTGGGCTGTGTCACTGTCCCAGCCACTGAGGAGCTCAGCTCCATTCCCACCATGTCCCATCCCAGTGGTGGGTGCAGTCAGATCCCTCCCCGAGCTCCCTGCCCAGCTGAACAGGCAATTTAATTTCCTTCCTTTGGTGCACATTTCCCTCCCTCCCTTGCTCCAGCCTGCCTTTGCCTAAAGCACAGTTGCTAAATTAATTACCAAGGAGCTCTGTGCTGCAGAGGAGCAGCGCTGGGGCCTCCCCTGGGGCCTGGGGCTCTTTCCTCTGCAGCCCTGCCAGGCCCGTGACTCAGGCTCTTCAGAGACACCCCCACAACTTTTATACACACAATCCCTTTTTCCTGATAGATGTTTGCATCTGCAGCTCCCTCCCAGCCATGCCTGCCCACTGGCTGCTGGCACTGCTTCCTGAGGGTGCCTCAGGCCAATGAAGGCAGGCTGAGGGCTGCAGGGGGGCAGCAGTACCTTCATAGGAGCCAGCTGGATGGGGGTGATGCATGAGGGATCCACCATGGGCTTGGGCCTGTTGGCTGTGTCTGCCAGCAGGCTGTGCCACTGCTGCGGCAGCCCCGTGAACTTCTGCTCCCGGTGGTCGAAGCCGGTGTGCACCCGGTGCTCGAAGTTGGACGGGCCGGAAATTTCCAGCCTCTTCTTCTTTTTCCCAAACATGGTGGAAAGATCTGCAGAAAAGAAAAAAGGCCACGTGTTTACACTCTCTTGTATCCCTCAGCCACTGTCTCTACTTCACAGGGAATTTTAGTAGATGTCATTAGCCAGCTACTCCATGAACTTCCCTGCACACACTGAGATCTGTGCGAGGCAAGCACTCCCCTGACCTCCTTTCTGGGAGAAGATTTTAACAAATTAACCTCTTCATAATGCCTTATGAAACAAGGAAATTCCCAGGAAAGAAAGCCCCAGGTCCCCCTTTGTACTCCTGTCTCTGCTCATGCTGCAGCCCATGGAAGCTCCAAGCTGGGAGCAATGCCAGCAGCAGGGGATGGCTTTCCTCCAGGGACAGCCCTTGGGAAGGGGTGAGCTGTGCCCTGATTCAGGGGGGAGCAAATGCAGGCACAGCTCTGCATCCCTGACAGGGATAAAGGTACTGGCTCATCCCACTGGCACAGGAAATAGCCAATACCCTCTCCACCTGCAGTAACCCTTGGGCTGGTGGCTCCCAGCCCAATGAATGAAATGAAGCGCAGCCTAACAGTGCTACTGAAGCAAGCTCAGATCGGACTTTCTGGAGGACTCCAGAAATCTGCCGTGCAAGGCAGGGATAAATTGCTGCTCCCAGGGAAACAGACAGAGGTGCTGTTGCTTGTCAGTGACATACTGTCCTGTGCTGGAAAAGCTCTCTGCCTGCCTTCTCTTCCACCCTGCTCTCTGGGCCATTTCAAGCAGGGCTGGCACAGCACTTGAGCAGCATCTGTGTGAAACAGCAGCAGGGTGAGGAGGCTGCTGCTCTTCTAGCACACCTGTAAAGGTGCTTCCCTGACTTTGTTCAGGAGGTGGACAGGAGAAGCTCAGAGAAGAAAATATGGTTGTGTTGCTGCTGCAGCTAGGGAAAGATGCAGTGATAAATCAGGTATTTTCTCTGCCCTCACTGCCTTTTACTAGTTTATCTAAAGATCAAGTCCATTATTTGAAAATTGATTGCTGGCTGCTTTGTAAGTCCCCCTGTGTATTTGTAGGTGATTGTCTCCTTTGAGCATATTTCTTTTAGACAGGGCAGACTTGCTCCTGTTGGCCTTTCTTCACAGGTCTCATCTTCCACAGTCCTCTCTCTGGCTTTCTACCCTACTCTGAACTTCCCAAAGTTCCTGCTCTTTTGGCAGTCTCTCTCCAGCTCTGTTAACTTGGGTATCTTCCTCACCCACCTCTCCCAGAACCTCCAAAAAGACACATATCAAAGTGATTATACTGTAATACAATCACCTTGATATGTGCCTTTTTTCCTTTCCCAGCATCACAATTGTTTTGCTTCTCTTTGGTGCACGTGGGTACCTCCTTGTGGCACTCACAGACACACTTGCAAAGCCACAGTGGCTGCTCTCTGCTCAGAGATTGCCCATTTGAGCCATTTCCACCTCAAAGAGCAGCAGCCCCAGGTCAGGCAGTGCCCCAGCAGTGGCAGCCAGTGCAGATCCATGGCCCTGCATCGATCCCATTTGCCCCAGGGACAGGAATCCATGACACTATTGGAGGAACATTTTAAACCATCAGCTCCAGACATGTATTTTTTCCTCTGATCAATGCCAGGGTTTCCCACAGGACTTGCATCCCAAGGCAGCTGCTTGAAGTCCTCCTGAGCTCCAAACAACACTGGGTAACTAAAAGCCCATCAGCTGGCACAGTGTACACTGCTTTTTAAAATGAACAGCACTTTCACTCACCAAGGTAGCAGCCAGCAAATCACCTGCACTTCACTGCAAAGCCAAGCCAGCCTCCCCTCAGCACAGTCCCCTCCAAAGAACTGTAACATACACAGCAGTCACAAGGGAGCCTCATTTCCCCTCATTGCTCCCAAAGAATGGAAATGGTGCTGCCTGCTCTCCTCAGCTGTCTGAGGATGGGGTTTGGGGCAGCCAAGTCTGTGAAACCTTATGCTCTGGGCTTGTAAGTGTCCTGATTCAGTCCCCACTGATGGGCTGGGTCCTCATACCTCAGAAATGGAGAGATGATTCAATTTTCCCCATAGCTCTACTGATATGACACAAAAAAGAAAACATTTAATCAGGTAGGGAAACAGAAAACATCCCTCCTAAGTGATTCCATGTTCTCCAAGACATCTAAAGCCATTTCAGGAATAACCCAAGTGCTTTGAAGAGGAATGACAGAGCTTTCCAGGATGCTGAATAACGTCTGTGTGGCAGAAAACTTCTGAAATTTGTATCAAGAGCACAAAATGTATGAAAAATTCATTCAGGCACCCACCCATTCACACAAACCAGCAATCCCCTCACAGTTATTAAGAACCCCTAATTTCCTAATGGGATTACTTGGGAAAACATCCCCCAGAGAGGAGGGCAGCCTTGATGAGAGGCCCAGGGAGGAGGGAGGCTGCAGGATGGCTCTGCAGAGCTGCCCCTGAGCACTCACCCTGCACTTAATTCCTCCTGACAGCTTCCAACGTGGCCCTGACCGTGCCAGGGCTCGCAGCAAGTGCCAGCTCTCTGTGCAGCTCCTCCCGTGCCCACCCCCACAGAGGAGAGGAAATGAGAGGCACTGTGCCTGCCATGTGTTCCGTTTGGGTGGGATGAGCACAAGCAGCATGTCTGTGCTCTCCTGGCCAAGGGACAGCCTGGCTGTTCCAGTGGCACGCGGTGACACCGGGGGGTACCGCTGATGGCACTGGGCTCGGCTTTGGGGGGAAGCAGGACCCGCCCCTGCAGTGCTTCCCTGGGGCAGCTCTACAGAAATCCTTCACTCTCTAGTGCTGAGCTGGTGCAGCACATGGACTTTGTGTTTGTACCTGTGGGGTCTGCAGGAGGCAGCCCTTCAGGGACGGTGAACTCAGGAGCAGGACAGCAGGACACCTAAACCAGTCTGCTCTGACATGGCAGACCTGGCTCCTTTCATGCCCTCCTTTCTGTGCACAGCAGTAATTCACTGACATCACAGAGCCAGGGGCTCCCAGGCTGCTCCCCACAGAGGGCATTTCCTGAGATGATGCCCGTGCAAGGTGTGAGATGTGGAGCAGCAGATGATAAATAAATCCCCTGTGTCAGCTCCTGCACTCTCCCTGTGCTGCCCCCCAGGCCCAGCTGAAGGCTCTTCCCAGCCAGGAGCCCCCTCCAGTCCCACGCTGTGCTCAGTGCCCATCCAGGCTCTCCCATGGTGGGCTGGGCTCAGCACAGGATTTCCCACAAAAGGTTAAACCCTGCCAGCTCACACAGAGGTCACAGCTTTGTTCACCATCAAAAGTTTGCCCCCATCCTGGGGTTTCCAGGAGTTGTCCCTCTCCTGTATGTGAGACCAGAGGACACTCCAAGACTGATGAACTGAAAAGCTGAAAGTCCAGATCTGTTACTGCCCTCAAAGAACAAATGTTTGCATTTACAGCAGTTAGATCCAAGGCAGTAGGAGTAAAACAAAAAAAGAATTAGTTCATTCTAAGGTTAATGGTATTCTGTATCTTTTATCATATCCTAAGAGTAATTCATTCAGCTACAAAGTAAGAGAGAACTCTGTTTAGCTCTGCCCCGTTTTCTATTCCCAATAAAAAAGTCAGAGCCAATTTTTGCTCCCCTTCCAAATAGCTGCTCTTTTAAAAAAGACTACAGAAGTTGGAAATACCTTTCATGTCTTGTAATCTTGAAAACTGCCAGCGTTCCAAGTGCATCCCTTAAGCAGTGACAACAGCCCTTGCCATCCCCCATGTCCCCAGATAACCCAGAGCAAAGGCCTGTGATGTTCTGCCACACATAAAATACACACAGTAACCTTACATAGTCAGCACCTGGAATAATGAAGTGAGATGGGAATTCTTACTTTACAGTTGCACTTTTAATGACTCTGCACTATAGCTCTGTAAGCTCTGTTTCTTCCTGTGGCGTTTCAGCAGCCAGATGAGGTGTCCCACTAACCCCAGGAAGGCCCGTGTGCTCCCTGTGACCCTGAGGCACCCTGGCAAGCCTGCAGGGATTTCCTACACACACCTCACTGCTGCTGCAGCTGACAATCCTCCCTCAGGAGGGGCTCGGTGCTCCCTGCCTGCCCCAGCCCAGCCACATGCTTGCTTTCAAACAGCAGCAATTAGTTCATTTTCAATTAGGCAGTGCACACTGCATTAAGCCTGTGAGCCTCTATGTTCTGCAGGGATTCCCTGTGGTTCCTCAGCTGAGCAAGCAGCAGCAGAGCCCTTTTCCCTCGTGGATGGGCATGTTATTAACATATAAAAATTGCCTTCGTGCATGCTGAGTATCCTCTGTGAGCCCAAAGGGGGGCAGCAGCCAGGGCTGTGAAAAGGTCCTGTGCAACGGCACATTTCCTCCCAAGTCAGCCCCACAGCCAAAAAACCTGGTTACAGGCAGGAGCATTAATAAAATGCTTCATTTTTAGGAAACTGACAGACACACAGCTTGCAAAATGGGGAGATGGGTGCGGGTTGCTTTCTTTTGATACTTTTTACTTACTATAACAGTTTCCTGTACCACAAGGACCCCAATTATTCCCCTCCAGAGCAGTAACACATCATTAGCCCTGGTGGCTCTGTTCCCCACTCTGATTAATTGTAACCTTTCCCCACACTTGATCCTAAATGAGGGCGCATGAATTGAGAGGCACAAATTAAATTAAAGTGCCAAGGCAGCCTGCAGAGCCAGGGCTCCAGACAAATGTGAGCTGGGCTGAAACTCCATCTCCAGGAGAGAGCAGGGTGTGGGATGGACTGATGGCAGCACAAATCCCTGAGAGATGCTCCGTGTGTGAGAGGTGGAAATGATGCTGCCTCTCCTTTGGCTCCTCAGGCAAGTGGAAGGAGACCAACACATATCTGTCTATCTATACACCTCATGTACATTTAATATATTTACTATATTTAATAAAACTGTTAAAAATGAGGAAAATTGTTTGGGTTTTTTTTCTTTATTAAGGAACAATAGTTTTGTGTTTCCTTTCTATTTAAAGATGGTTCTGAGCTTCTTGGTAGGGACCCTCTGCTGCTGGCTGCAACCAG